GACTTGGAGGCCCGTTTCTCCTTTATTTTATGCATTTTGGACGAGCAAATCCTGTTGATTTCTACCTTCTTTGTGAAGTTAGTGCTGTTGTATCTGCACAGACTGTTTGAATTTAGCAGTACAGAAACAAAGACAAAAACGTTCTGCCTGGAGGAAAACCGATGTCAAATATTCCCACTTGGCTGTCCTTGTTGTCAGGACATCTTCATATTGCATTGCTTAGACAGTTCCCAATGTGTGTGTCTATCGGAGCTCTTATTTTATGACATATTTTGTTGTTCCCTTTTCCCACCTCTTTCGCTCAGAGAACTATAAAAAATTATCTTTGGGTTTTTTTTGTTTTGGGGTGTGTGTGTGTGTGTGTGAGGAGATTCCTTAGCACATACTATTTCTTTTCACAAAGATCACCTGGAAGAGGAATCCCCCCATTAAGTACTTACTGCCGTGTCATCTGACAACGCATTTATTATTTGCTGGATTAAACCCCCAGTATTTGCTGCCTTCCCCCTTCTCCGAGATATTTATCATTTCAACCAGGATGAAGCGTTAGCTGCATTAATAGGGGTATAGATTTAACCTGCATCAGTCCAGAGCAGTGGCCAAAGTGAATGCTTGTTAAATAATGGAATATTTTCCATTCCTTTGCACAGTGGTCCTTTGGGATGTGAGGGCTAAACAGCAAATCGGGCGAGAGCCTTGCTGGCTTTAATTACGCAGCTTGCTTAGGCTCCGCTCCGGCAGTCCGTTGCTAATCCACGTGTTAGTGTACAAAAGACAACTGACTCACTGTGGAGGGATTTGAAACACTTAAAACCAAAGAAAAAAAGTCAGGGATTATTTAGCGTTTTTCTCCTTGTGCTGATATGCCGTGGCAGTAGCAGCGTGAGGTGCTTGGAGGCCCAGGTTCTCTCTCCCGTCTCTCCCATGGTGAGGCTCTTCCTCATGGGTGAACAATGGACGGAGCCCAACTTTGGAGGGAGCCAAACTTCTGGCTCTTTCTCAGTTGCCTCCGCTTCCCCAGTGGAAAGGATCGGGGAGGGGGTTGTGGAGGCCCAGCCAGCGCTGTGTGCCCACTCCTGCCCCACCGCAAGCCAGGCTGCCTGCCGAAATGCACTGGGGAGCCGGCCTGTCCTGAGGGAGGAAGGGGCACCTTGTTGGTGATGGACTTAGGGTAAACCCTTCTCTCCCTCATGCATGTTTAGGGGCCATCGCGTAGCAGGGGTGCCTTGGGGGTAGGGTGTTTGGGGAGGCGAGGTCCCGCCTGGTGCAGTGGGCGCGCTGGGAGGGACCCCCGGGCTGAAAGGACGCGGAGCAGGGGCAGGCAGAGCCCTCCCTGGGGCTGCGGGCCTGGCCTGGCCTCGGAGCAGCAGCTCGGGTCCCTCTCAGGGAGAGGCTGCCCGGGGAGGCGAGCAAACCTGTTAGGCCCATGGC